CCCTTTCTTGCACAATCATTCTCTGCACACCTGGAAATCTTCCTGCGGGTGCAGCTGACCGCAGTAAGAGCGTTTCAGGGGGAAGGAGCACTGGAATAAAATCGCTCCAATCCCTCCATCAAAACCAGCACCAGGCTCGAGTCAGGCAAGAGTGTCATGAGTCATGTTCAAAAAACAATCATTTCAGTCCCTCTTGCTTGCATTTCGTAGGCTTATTTTCGATGCCTAAGTCGTACCAAGTGAGATTATGTCTGAGGATTAATATTACAATATTATTAGAACTTGTTTGCCTGAAGAATTACTCAATGACCTGTTGTTTGCGAGCAAAACTTACATCAATGCCAGGAATAGGCCTGATTTTCAAAATGGCAAAGCCCTACGTTGCAACCCACATATAGCGTTTCCTTGGTTGTCTGCGGGCCTGAAGCGGCACCCTCGTCGTGACCACAGGCAACAGATACCACCCAGATCCACCAAGGATTTGGTCGTGCCTCAAACATCGACCGAGGCCCCTTCTGCTGTTTGGTTTAAGCCTTCCGAACTCTCCAAAGTGCCCGCAAAGTGCCCGTGCCATGGCTATCCATTTTACTATATTTTACCTCAAAGATGACCTTAAAATCGGAAGACATTGCAGATCATTGCAGTATATGTACTTCATGTAAAGCATTTAGAGAAGGGCCTCGTCTGATACCACTCCGATCTGAGACAAGGCACAAGGATCAAGGGTTTTCGCGTAAAGACATGCTTGATCTTGTCATAATCATTCGCGATTTACCAAGAATGCTGGCAAAGCAAGCCTAGGCAGCACAGCTTCGTGTAGTGCAAAAGAATCTTCCTTTGGGGAAAGAAGATCTAAACCAAAGCCCAGAAGATGGCAATGCAAAGAAGTAAGCAAATGCCAGCGAAAGCCAGTAAACGCATCGGTTCAACAGATTCAGGGAGCCACACACATGTTTCCCCCCAGCTTCCATATCAAAGAAACATTGAAGTAACTGTCCAAATGAGATACGCTTGAATCAAAGTTTCGGTTGATGCCGGCCATGGAGGCTGTAGATTAAGTAAAGTACAACAAAAAGATACAACAGGTACGACAAACCAATATCGACTTGACTTTGTGCGAACGCCAAGCAGCGACTGTGGAGGCTTCGCCTGATGTAAGTGGTCAATCAACGCCCAAAGTCCTGGCCGGAAACGTCACTGGCCGCCACTGGCCCCTTCTTTGTGGCAGTCAACGTCCCCATTTTGACGCCGTGCTCGTAGAAAATTTGATCTAGGGGTGAAATGGGTCACTTCATGTCACGTCCATTCTCCTGGTCATGAGAAAGCCTCTGCACGCCACATTGTGTCCAAGTGGAAGAACGTCCTGCGCAGTTGCAGTCTCAACACCTCCCCAACCATCATCGAATTCAGGGCATTTCAAGCTGCACATGCATGTCATGCATCGTCATGCGTCTCATCGCATATCATTAATGACTTCCCAACAAAACCAGCCCCTGGGCGCGGCCACAGAGTCCTCCATTTGTTGAAGAAAATGCACCCATGCAAAGGGTGGGTTATAAAAGAAGCCAGCTTTCTATAGCAAACGTCCTATACCCATTGCTGCCCAGAGCAAGCCAGTTTTCTGCTGTACAAAGATGCAAAGTGTTCTAGTTGCTGCAGCCATGCCAAGGCAGTTGGATGTGGAAGAAATGCCCAAAGCATTCCATTCAGATTCCTGGATGTTTGCTCATGAACTCAAAGGTCTTGCATATCTTGCAACTACTTGGCGCATTTGTTCGGAGGTGTTGCTTCCGCGCCAAGTGAGCCTGCATGATAATCCATGTGTTCCACACCAAAAAGGCTCGGCACTGGGCTGACATTGCAGCCATGTGAAGTCTGCAAATGCAGCCACCACTGCAACAACACTGCTGCGTGCTTCCGTCTCTGTCAATCATAGAGCGGTGTCAAATTCGGCCAAGGACGGCTATGTTAGTGAGAAACCATGAGAAGCCTCTAAGGTTGTAGGGGTGAAATTGAAATGCAATGGAATCCATACAGTAGCATATCATAGCATATCTACTCTGCTGTCATTCTTGGGTTCTTTTCTCCGGGAAGAAAATAGCTAGGACTCAGTAGTTGTTTTTGTTTTTTAGAGGACAAATAGCAACCAAAACAAAACAGTTTTTTCGAAGGTCCTTGCTTCTGGGAGCGGCAAAACGATAGCAAAACAATCCTCGCAGTGACTTACTAGAATTGACTTCAAATGGACAGCCTTAGCATCATGCTCTTCAAACTCCAGAGGCGGCAGCTGCGCAGAAACACATGGGCTAGAGCTAGATTACAGTAAAGTTTCTATTGTCCGCTGCCCGCCATTCTGGCCTAGCTAATTGATGTGGAAGAAATGCCCAAAGCATTTCATTCAGATTCCTGGATGTTTGCTTATGAACTCAAAGGTCTTGCATATCTTGCAAGTACTTTGCGCATTTGTTCGGAGGTATTGCTTCCGCGCCAAGTGAGCCCGCATGATAATCATGATAATCCATGTGTTCCACACCAAAAAGCCTCGGCACTGGGCTGACATTGCGGCTGAAAGAATCAGCTATTCTGCAGACTTTGGCGATTGGCGATCGATGCAAGGCTGTTTTCTAGTTTGGCGTGAGCGGCTCTGCGCACAGCCCAGCCTGTGGAAGCCTTCCTCAATCAGAAGAGGTGACAACTGTTGAACAGCTGAAGAAAGCATCGCCGCGCCATTTCACCACCCCACCCACCGAGCAATTAGACCCAAAAAAACCTGGAACCGTAAATGATTTTGGGGAGAAGAGATCATTCCACCGCATGCCTACAAGGATACAATTGCCCTGCATATACCATACAGCACTCAATCCGTACAGGACTTAATCAAGCTTAAAGTGGCTTGAAAGAGAAATCTGTGGGAGTTGTGGATCTTCCAAAACCACATCTGCAATTTGCTTATCTCACAGGAGTAACTATGATCATGTAAGGTTTTCCTTAAGACAGTGTTTCAAATGACGACCCAGCAGCCATTTAGCTGCCAACAGGTCACTTGAGTCCAGCTGTCCGCCCTTTGGCTCCTTTGGCTCAAAGGACACATGGTGTAGGGACCAGCGTAGGACACGCACCAGGTGTGCTGAACGCATCTGAACGCAATCACAGTATCGCAAAGGAACTCGCACGCAAAGTGCATGACTGCCCTGTGTGGTCTGCGCAGCACCCATTGCAACAATACTGCTGCATGATTCCAGCTTTGTCAGTCACTGAAAAACTCATATTCAAGCAAGGACCTGTAGTTGTCATTGTCAATTGCAAAACTGCGGTATTTCAGAAATTGAACTTCCCTCAATATAGGGCTGTATCTCACGTTCACACTGCAGTGATGCTTTGGGTCTGGGGGCGACTCTCCATGAAGGGCATCAAGTTTTCTTGCCAATGACCCAGTTCGCCCTCAATACACTCAGCATCTTTTGGTTGAAACAGCCCACTATTTAGGACCCAATCATGTATATACCGTATATACGTATGTTGAATTTTCAACTTGATACTTGAAAGAATCGGAAGGTTTTAGGTTGTGTAAACGAAGTCTCATAATCATCACTAATATCACTATAGTATCGCAGTATGTGCAATGTCAAGTAAACACGGGTTCGGCAACTTGCTGATGGTAGAACTCGATCACTAGGAACATTGTTTCAGGAAAAACAACCTGGATACATCATGATACATCCTGGTTTCATGACATACCCTTCTTTGAACTTTGGTGGCTTCTGAGAAACACAGGCATCTCATGCACTTCTGACTGGCTCAAAAGTGCGAAACCACTTCCAGCCCTTCCGGGTGAGCCAAAGTGATGTGGAGGAAACATCTCGATCCTTTAGGTCAAGCCAATCTCCAAATGCAAACATTAGACTGAAGTTGTGCACATGATAATCCCTGCGCCAGAAAGGCCTTTGTGGAGGGCTCAAGCAGCAGAATTGGCAACTCGAAACATGGTCGGCGATTCTGCTCTGACCCATCTGGCTCTGTGGCCAATGTGTCTTTTCTGACACGGAAACACTTCAAGCGTTTGCCTGACAAAGCATTTGCTTGACAAAGCATGCAGCATAGTTTTTCGCAGAGAATTCCAATTAATCAAGTACCAAATAGAAATTGGTAGCATCGATCAAAGCAAGCTAGAAAAGCTATTCGCATCTCTCATCACACCAACAAGGAACCATGAACAGGGAAGATTCACCCTGGAAACTTGTCTGCTGTGTTGCAGGGGCTTCAAATGAAATAACCACTGCGTCACTTGAGTCACTTGCACACATTCTGTACATGACTGTACATGCATAATCAATCGTAATCATACTTCTGCTTCACACAACTCCTAAGCAGAGCTTGTCGCATCACCTCTTTGCCCATGCTAGCCGCTAGAACAAGGGACTTCCATGGACTTCCATGACTTGCTCGTCGCCCTTTTTTAGCTTGTGGGCAGGGGTGGCGGTCAAGCTACCATTCGGATCCACTCTGAGATTCTGAACGGCTTAGTCTGCAGGTCGGAGTCACGGATCCTGTTTTTTTTTAGAAAAGAAACTGCAAGTTGCGGGTCCAAGGATTTTTCAACAGCTTTTCTTGTTCGAAAAATCATTTTTGGGCGCCAGAAATCTTTGATCTTCTGTGTGATGAAAAGGATTGAAAAGGAATGAAAGGGAAGCGTCAGAAAAAGAAACATAACCACTTTGCCTTTGAACTTCAACCAGCATTGTGTTTCAATCAGCAGCTCTGCCCTTGCACAAATCAAGGACTGCACAAATCTTCACAACAGCCCTATCGTCCAAATACTCCCTGAGACCGCAATTGCTCCTCCCGCAGGCAAACATTATCGGTAAATATGCACAATGTCCATCAGCGCCAGCGCCAAGACACTTTTTGGGGGCATGGCTCAAAAAGTCTAAACCCAATTTTGGGATGCTGAAAATGAATGAAAATGAGCTGTGGGACTCTTGCAAATTTTAAAGATAAGA